ACTCGAACTCAACATTTTAACAAAAAAAAAAAAAAAAAAAAAAAAAAAGAAAAGAAAAGAAAAGAATCAAAAACAAAAACAAAGTGCAGGAAAAAAATGAGCGTAGGGTAGGTTTTCACAGTTTCACCTTAATAAATAAAAGCTTCCACACAACAGCATGAATCAAGGTTCCAATGAGAGCATACATGCTTACATGTATGATGAGTGAAAAACAGGTGAGTTCTGTGCTGGAATGTATTTTGTGTATAGAGTGACTTGATATGTCGAGGCCGATGTGTTTGTGTAGGCGGGGAGGTGAGGGGAGGTGAAACACTGAGAGGCTGGCAGTCAGATTGTACGCAGTTTAAAAGCGAATAAACGTAGCGTCAATCTGGCGTACACTGGGCAACGCCAACATGATCTTTCTCCGATACTGGGGGTCTTTCTGTAGCGGGTTTCTTTCCAGGTAGACCGTCTCCAGAGACTTTGCGTTCTTCAGCTCGTCAAGATCCGACCAGTTGTCTATTTGATTATCGTTCATCTGGAAGGAGAGTTTGAGACAGCAAGAGTCATCAGATTTGAAAAGAAAAAAAAGTAAATATAAACTGGAAATGAAATATTTTTAAAGGGGGGAATTATGCAAAATCAACTGTTTTGTGCTTTATATTAGGTTATAATGTCATTCTCTCATTAAAAACACCCTCGTTAACGCATGTTTGAGAAATCCTTGAATCTTCAGTGGTAGCAGTCTAAACACTTGCTGGTACAAAGCACCGCCCATTAGTACAAAGCTCCTCCCTGAAACTCAAGTCTGCAGCAGAGCTCCTGCCCCATATATACATTTTGTTCATATTAACTGAAGATAACAGTTACTTGATTATGGTATAGAATTGATGTCCGTATATGCCTGGAAAATATTTAATACGACCCCCTTTAATAATTTCATGAGTTTAAAACACTATAAGTCAAATTGTGGCATGAAAAGAAGCTTTCACATCTTTAGTAGGAGCTGAAACCTTTATCAGCTTCAAGAGTGATTATTTGCAGAGCTTGGCATTCATGTGTAAAATTAGCTAACATTTCGTTCATTCTTCTCACTGCCCACATCATGTTTGCTGTGCCTTTCTTTGGCAGCACCTATATAAACACCCTCAAGCTTTAAAAGGTAAGAGACGCATTTTCTGAAAACAAACACCCACCCCACTGAGCCTGTACATAACCAGTGATGAAACCCAATGAAGCAGCAAGGAAAGCAGACATTTGTACCTGACTGTTTGTTTAGAAGTGCATTGAACAAAAAGTGACATTGTTGGCAATTTTTTTGGCCAGGTTGTGTATTTGTTAGGTCATGTTAATATTAATGCCAATCATGTGCTGGAAGGCAATGCTTTTTGATCAATAGATGCGGAGAATAATTCYTCTGGATTGTGATTTTTGAAATTCATACATCTAACAAAATGCGTTCAAGCACAGTAACATTTTCATTATGTGTTTTAGGCCTTGAATTGCATATTGGCTTGGGCTTTAACCTTTTGAAAGTTAACATAAGCAACTATTTATATGGGTGTTTAATTTACGAAGGGTAAGTAATTCAGTTAAACAAAAGACCTGAATGAATTTTAATTGGTTGTAAATGTTCTGATGGGTACATTTAAACTATACAGACAAACAAAACAAGTACAGAAACAGCGTTCCTCCTGTTCAATAGCACCTTATTAAGTTTTACGAGTTTCTAACTGCTCCTAATATGTCTGCCACTGYCAAGCTTCTCCATCGTTATAAAACCATTCTTGCTCAACCAGAAAACTATCCATACCCAGAACTCCTGCAGCTCTGTCAGATGGCTGATGTTTTCAATTTTCTTTACTCGGTTGGCAGCGATGTCCAGTGTGCTAAGTTTTTTCTGTGGAAATAAAAAATGAAACTAAAATTAATAATTACATAAATGTGTGGAAGTCCAGAACAAACTCTGTTGTTGTATGTTTGAACAGCTGAACAGTTTGTCAGCCAGTCCTTTCAGACCATTTTATGACTCACATTGTTTTCCAGGCCCTCTATGACCTCAATGCCATTGTGGCTCAAATAGAGCTCTTTCAGGTTGAGAAGGTTCTGTAATCCCTCGATTTTAGTAATCCGGTTACTCTGAAAATAAGTATATGTAAAACATCAACCACATTAGACACGTTTTAGACTTGTTAGAAATTCTACAAGCGGTGACAAGAAGTTGTGTGTGTATATACCTGAATGCTTAAAACAGTCAGGTTGTGTAAATTGTCCAGATTTTGAAGCTTTGTTATTTTATTGGTGCCAAGAAACAAACTTTGCAAAGATGAAAGACCATCCAGGTTCTCAATCACCTGTAAACACAACCAAACAGCCCAAATGAAACTCCTAAAAGTAAAAGCAAAGCCACTGCTCAAACGTTCCTCTGCACATGTTTCATAAGAGTTTAAATGTAAAAACCCCACAGCAGCAGAGAACCCCTTTACGGCTCACCCTGATTCGGTTAGAGCCCAGCTCCAGCATCTCGAGGTCCTTTAGGTGGTCCACGTTGGAAATGGTGCCAATTTTGTTGTGAAGCAAAAACAGTTTCTTCAGCCGAGTCAACTCCTCCAAGTTTTCCGCCTTCCGCAAAACGTTAAAGGAAACGTCGAGCAGCCTGTAGGTTCATGGTGAGGAATAAATAAAAATGAATCCCTTTTAATAAACTGAAATGAGTGGTTTCCTTTGGGAGACCCTTTTACCCCCAGACTTACTCTAACTCTTTGAGGTTGTTTAAGTTCTCCAGCTTGCGGATTTGATTGTCATAAAGATCTAGTTCCCGGAGTGAGGTCAAACTGTCAAGGTTTTCTATCTTTTTGAGGAGGTTCTGTCGTAAGGAGAGTGTCTGGATACAGAGAGAGAGAAAAAACACATGTAGCTAAGCTTTAAGAAAGTTTAAGCCAGGTGCAGATGTCTTTTTTATAGGCACATAAAATCCACATAGAAATCATAAATAAATTACTTACTTTAGCCTTCTGTAGCACTTCCAGACCTTCTATTTTCCCAATACGACAATGAACAAGATCAACATCCTAGGAAACAAAAAGCAACTTTACAATGACTTTTAGTAATATTTTAAAAACTATATATTTTCTACAATTCACAACTCAGAATATTTACTTTTATATTCAGAAACAAAAGTAAATTGTGTTCTTTTGCAAACATACTTTCCTAAAAAAGGTGTTTGTGATCATTACGTGCAATAAATAAGATGAGAATAAATTTAATTAATGGGCTTTCTAACCTCTTCCTCTGGATCCAAGGTTATAGTGTCCATGTCAACAGGTGACTCTTCTTTACCTTTAATAATGGTACAAACTTAATCTGTCATTGCATTGTGGTAAGATAAAGTTGAAGACAACAAGCAGCAAATATTTCAATAAAGGGTATTGTGCAAAGTAGTCTTACAGAAAGATCAGTTGCTTTTTGCTTATTGATGTCGGCACAGTTTTTTTTCTTTTATGAGGAAGCTGAAGACAACTTACTTGTGGCAGTGGGCTGATTGGGGTCCACATCGCCATTGATGCTCTTCCTCCTGGTCTCATCATCACCAGACTCCTCAGACTCTCCCCTTCGGTCTACTGCAGTTAGTGYAGAGAAGCTTTGACGTACAGTAAAAGGCACAGAGCTAGTCTAATTTTAGATAATAAACATGTAACTTTCATGTAAACAATTAAAATTATATTGATCAATATTTCTACGGGTTTTTCTAAAGCATTAAATAATATAACATAAAGGAGAAGTGACTTAAAATCTTTGCACAGTGCTGTATCTCCATCTTAGTCACTGACTCAGCAGTCAGAAAATGCTGTGTGGAGCTTTAGGCCTCAGACCGGATGTCTGAAGGTAACTTGATCAATAAAAAAGTCGTGATTGGATACGTTCTGTTGCTTTTCTGCACTTTGCAACATGCAGGGATCGAACAAACGTGCACAAACATTGACACTAAAGCAAGCAGACTTATAAAATGTACATCTAATTATTATTACACAGCGTGTCCGGAGCATTTCCACTCTTTCCAGTTTGTAAAAATGAGGTCAGTTGTCTTAAATTTCACTCCACTGCTAACATGCTAGGTAGCTTAGTAGCTGTTTGAGCTACATATAACGGGGACAATAACTACATTTCTAGCATGTTAAATCCACACACCATCAACACGTTACAAAAAGCTCTGTTTCCAACAATGCAGCATTTTCACATGGAACAAAAATAGTTGAAAACTACAGAGTGACCAGACGCTAAGCGCTACCTAGCTAACGTCTTGTTCATAGCTTATCAGCTAACAAAACCAGGATGAAGGTCTGCGCAGTAACAGGAACAACAAGTCACCGAGGTTACTTATAGGAGCACCGTGAATCGTTTTACAAATGGTTGCAATTCCTCCTGCCCGATGGAGTCACATCGCGACAACTTATTTGGGCGTTTTRTGTGCTCACCTTCCATATCTTGAAGCTCTCCAGCAGACAGAGAAGCCATGTTTCCTGTAAACACTCCTGACAACCGCTCGACCAATCCGCTGGAAGAACGCTCTGCCTTCAGACACCAGGGGGCGCTGCTGCTCCACACGGAAAATGAACCCACTGCATGAAGTCCACACTGAAAATGAACACTGTGTACAGACAAGCCGGGATTTTCCAGATATCCTGGCTGAATTAAGCTTCGATTCGYTTTCACAAAAGCAGTAGCAGCTAGCCTGCTCCAGACCAGGCTAACAGCCAGGCTTAGTTAAACCTGGTGCCTTATCTGTTCAGTCAGCGGTCACACCCAACCAATGTGTTTTCTCAGGGATTCTGTTTTCTTTATCTGTCTGTTTTGGACCTTTTTTTAAAATCAGACTGCAATAAAATGCCACTGATTAATTTTGACTATTATTATTTTAACATTACGATGGTTATCAATAAAAGTTATAATTCTCTATGTGTTTCTATGGGTGGGATACCCTTCTAAAACAAACAGGCCTCCCAGCTCTTCTGAATTCTAGGGATGTAAAATGTTCTTATATTTAATCTAGACCTGTTGCCAAGTCCTCTTTGATCCAATCAAGTTCATACTCCATAAATCAGATGTGGAACAAAAGAGAGTAATGTGAATGAATTTACATGTTACYTTACAGACTTCCACTGTTCATTTTTAAGTTTAAAGTTGTTCATTTGAGTAAATGACAGGTAAATCCTTGATTACAACACTTCCTGTTAAGCGTATTTAGAATATGTTTATCTTAAGCATTCAGGTTATTGTTTACCATGCCCTTTGTCCCTCCTTTATAATAGCAGCAGTGTTTCCTTTCTTCGTGTGCTTCATTTTCACACAAGTGGTTTGGCCTTTGTGAAATGGATGATGTCAGGATGAAGTGATCATGTTAGGTCTAGTCTAGATTTATCGCTTATCCTGAAGTTCTCCGTCCTGCTTTTGTGCAACAGCCTTTTCACATTGTGAAATTTTGTTTAAACACAACATTATGAGCAAACAATTTGCCTTACATTTCCAAGTTAAAACCCATTTGTTCTAACTTTAATTTATTCAATCCTGATTTAAAACATGTTTAGTGGATCTCTGCAGTAAAGCTCTCATGAAGTTGTTTTCAAATACTGTATATACTGTAATTTCCCAGAATCATATTCATTGATGTTCTTACTTAGGTTTTTTTTCTTGTAAAATCAAACAAAATTTAAAAACAAAGAAAGAAAACTTCAAAAGTTATGTACTCAGGCAATTTCAGCAAAGTAATTGAAGCTTTATCTTTTCAAGTTTAGCTGTCAAGCTAAACACAGTGGTTCACAATGTGTTCATTATAAACACTTTTTGAGAAACAAAACGGTCCCAACACTAGATCTCCTTATCAACATGCCTGCAGGTAAATAAGAAAAAAAAAGATGTTTACTTAGATAAGTTTTTTCCTTCACCCCCCATTTGAATGCTTGTTTATGTTTTAATTACAGAAATTAAAACTAATGCACATTTTCTTAAACTTGAAGCAGGTGGAGTCCCTGCATCCTTTCTTCAAACTCAGTAAATACARTAAATTTTCCAGCATTGCAGTATAAAATGGTTATACTGCAGATTAGTGAATAGTTAAAGTTATCAAAAATTAAACATTTCTGTTTTGCAATAAAGATGTTTGTGCTTCAAAGGCTAMCTTCAGTATGTTTAGAGCATCAAAACTTCACATAAAGACCTTGTGTTTATAGCACAACACTGGGTATTAAGAAAATACGGTAGAGAGACTGATTTGGGTTTTTATAATAAAAAAAATCTTTATTTTACAACAATGCAAACTTTGCTGTCATTTTGTTACAAAAAGAGGGAAAGGTCCCAATCCCCCCCCCACCCATTCAGTCCTGAGTGTCTTCATGATGATTTTTATAATCTAATATCTCAGAACTTAAAACATCAGTCATGAATTTTTCCTTCTATAGTTGAATACATATGGACAACTTCATTGTGAATATACTGTACAACCCACAAAAAAAAGCTTTATTACGTTTATTACTGATTAACCTGAGGTATAAGCCACCTTAATTCCCAAAATCTCCTCTACTTTGAGCAGTCAGTTTACAAAGTCACCATCCATCCAAGGCCATCTGCAATGCCTTCTACTTTTAGACCTTGGCCACACCAGACCGAGTCACTGAGTGTCATCTGAAAGGCTTGATGATGACATCTTTACCCRAAAGAATTGTTCTTTACAATGTGACATCTGTTCAACAGTAGAGTGATCATCTTTGTGTTACTGTTTTCAGAAGGCATTTCTGAGTGAAGTTTGCTCTTTACCAGAGTACCAAAACTGACAAGTCCAAACAGGCTAAATGTGTAATGTGTGTGTGTGTGTGTGTGTGTGTGTGTGTGTGTGTGTGTGTGTGTGTGTGTGTGTGTGTGTGTGTGTGTATTTTTATTAAAGGAAAGGGGCCGGATCAATGAGAACCTTTCGAGCTGACTACAGTAGAACTGAACCGCCCGGCTGGCTGGCTGGTCAGACCCGCTGCGCTCAGAGACCCCCTCACCGAGTCTCCAAGTGTCTGAGTGTGAAGAAATCGATATCCAGAGGATGATTAGTTGGTCGTTACTGAAGGATGGTTTCCTCGCTCTGGTTGGGGTTTCTGAGCGAGCTGCAGCCAGAGGAACAGAAGGAGGGGCTCTTTCTTCACTGAAACACTGGAGTCTGGATCTGAGACCTCTGAAACGGGGTGGGGAGGGGGGTGTTCAGGGGTCCACACACAAGTTTGGTGCTGGTTGACAGGAGAGCCAAAAAAAAACCAGGAAGTAGCTCCCTGTGTCCGTCCACACCTCAGAACTGCTCGTTACCTTTAACCTCCTGAGCACCATTAACTGAGCTCTACCTGGTGTTTCCTGCATGGAAACAGTGTTTAACACGTCCTCCTAGAAACACTGAAAAATACTACGAGTACGACCGACTGAACATGAAATAAATACTACAGAAAATATTATTAAAAGTAGGGATGCAAACAATTTTTCCACTTACGATTATTTGTCGAATATTCACTATTGTGATTCGTTTCTCATCCAAGTCATCTCAACTTTGSCATGCTTCTCCTCCTGCATACTTTGTCCTAGAGCTGCCATTGTAATTTATATCTGTAAAGCTCCTGTGCCAAATGATGGCTATGCCTTTAGGTGCCTGTACAACTTATATTTTTGGAAATATTAATGTTTAATAATTTATAATGGGAGTCAATGGAGCCTTGTATTGGTCCAATACTGCCCCCTGCTGTATCTACTCAGTACTGAACCATAGTTTGATAATATTTAATCTCAATAGTTCAGAGTGTACAATACTAATATGATTGTATTTTGATGTTTTACTATAATATTGTCCTAATATTGCTTTATTGTTGTAATATTTTTCAATTTAATGACAACCATTACATTGGCAATGTGGCCACTTTCTGCACACATACAAACCAAACCCTGGCCTCATTCTCTACCACAGCTCTAATGGTCTCATGGTTAGTGCCATGGGCTTTCATGTAGGAGATCAGGGTTTGAAACCCAGCAACAGTAACTTTATAAGTGATTTAAAAAGCCTGATTAATAGAATTTGAATATATATTTTTTGCACACATTCCAGATCTTTACCACACTCCAT